ACCGATCTACTCATTTTATATCTTCCTGATAAATGACCGTTGACTTGTACCTGACCATGTGCGTCATTATACAACACCCTAATCCATTTGCGAAAGTTAGGCCCCACACCCATCTTCTCCGTGCATTGTTGCAGAAAGTTCCTGTTTACCTGGTCATATGCTTTCTCAAAATCAAAAAAGAGAATTGCTGCGTCAATCCTCTTGTCTGTAATATACTTGACCGATTCTGATAAGGACATTACATTATCCAATATAAATCTCCCGGGATAAAACCTGTTTGATATAGATGGAATGCTCTGTCTGTTATCCTTCTCAATCGATTTGCCAGAGCTTTAGCTACTATCTTATGGGTAAGAGTCGGAAGTGTAATCGGTCTATAATTTCTGGTATCTTTAGGGTCTTCTTTTTTATATTGAAGTGTAACTACTCTTGTCGTCGATTCCACCCCTAGACCTTCTTTTTGCCATGCGTACTTGAGGAAGGCTTCGTATTCTCCTCCCAAGATGGGCCAAAACTCCATCCATAATTCTTTTGTAAGACCGTCCCTACCTGGAGTCTTATTAGAAGGCATAGACTGTAGGGCTTCGTGCAATTCTTCCTGGGTCAGTGGTGCATCTAACATTTGCACTTGTTCCCCCTTTATTGTACAGTCGAGATATGTGAGGAATTTGTTTCTGACTTCTTTTAAATGATGCGATTCTTCCTCCCCTTCCCTTGAAGTGTATAATGTACTATAAAAATTATAAGCCACTGACAACATCCCTTCTGCGTCTGACACCAAACCCTGCGGTCCCTCCATCTGTTCAATTAATGTGTTTCTTCCCCTTGTTTTAATCTTTTGAAAGAAGTACTTCGTCATTCTTTCTCCTTCCTCCCAATCTCTTACGCGCGCTCTCATTTGTAACCCCTTAGCTCTCCAACGTTCCCAATCTCCCAATTCCCATCTTGCAGACTCTATTATTTTCTCATATATCTCTAACCCCGGGTTATTAATTAAATTCCTTTCTGCTATACGTAACGCTCTTTGTAGTTCTAATTGTCTTGCCGCTCTCCTAGCCGCCAATTGCCTTGCTACTGCTGATATTACTCCTGTGATAGCTTCTATTAGATCAGGGAACGTATGTGCTTCAGAATTGAATGATAGGCATACTTGCACTACAGCTTCTCTCAATTCCTGAGTTTTTAATAATGAATTATTAACCTCGTAAAAACTCCTCCCCCTATCGATGTGCTTATCCATGGTCAGATTAAGAAATATCGGCTTATGATCCAGACAGCTGCTGTATGGTAAGTCCCCTATCCCTACGGAATGCACCACTCCTATCATATCCTGAGATATGAGAAAGTAATTTATCCTGGATGCCTCATCCCACATAAGTCCCTCTCCTATTCCTGACCTCCCCCCCAACAATTTATCCTTTCCTGGTTCAAGAGTAGCATTCCAATCCCCTACTAAAATGATATGTCTTGACGAATCTATGTGGGTTTGTAACAGGTTCATCATATCCGACCTTGATTGTCAGGAGTTAGGACAGTAGACTGTGAATAATGTAAACCGTTTTTCTTGATATGTGAAATTTAATTTTATCTAGCGTCCTTCTCCGTCATCTACTCTCACATCCTGTAGTATTATTTTGTTTGCCGCCATAGTCCTTTTATTCTGTAATATAACTACTCCTGATGAATGTGGTCTGGCTGCCGGAACCCAGAAGCTTGTTTTAACCCACCTCAACTGCTTTAATATGCGTTGCTGAATTTGTTGATGAGTCCTAGATTCCGTAAGATGGGTTTCCTGTATACATAAGAAATTCGGTGGATCCCTCCCATACCAGTCAGAGTACCTCATTACATTTTCCCATTTATCTTTATTTTCTAATATTTGTACCATCTCATTGATGTTCCAAGACATGATTCTGAGGTCTGTCTGCCTACCTCTTGAGAAATGTACTGTCCTTCTCCTCCTTTCTATCACCCCTCCCGGTGTCCCCTCCATAACCTATTTTCTCCATGTCTGCCTCATGAACAATTGTGATCTCACGAACCTGCGTGGGATAAGTCTATCGTCGTAGCATAAGGCTCTATATTGCTATCTATGTAATCTGGCTGCCACGAAAAGATATCAGTTTTTGTGACTATTGCCGCCCCTCTTGCCAGCCATTCTGACGCCTCTGATCCCCACAAGAGACCATATGGAATAGTCTCCACCACCTACCAAGGCATCCAGATTAAGCCGTCTACCAATTTTGCCTTTTCCTGTAATTTAATCATGATGGGCCTGTAGTCTACCTTATGTGTACTACCCCCCGACTCCGTCCATTCCTCCCGATCCTGTTCAAGGATCCCTACTACGTGTGCCTGTGCAGGGAGATCCTTGGAGATCATCTCTCTGAAGATATCTTGCGAACAACAACTATCTTTTGCTGTGACCAATGCTAGAGACCTTTGGATAGCCACTTCCCAGTCAGAATTGCCACTGTTCCAGCGGTAAGGAAGGACAATTCTCCTCCCCGGGTTTTGCCTTGCGTACAGTTTGGCCGCTGCGTTGATGTCTGTGTGTGCTGCGTAGGCAATTTTCTGCAGATTGATAGTGTCTTCCTCCAATTCCCGATTCTGGTTCTTAAGAACGTTGATTTGTGCCTCCAAAATGGCTACCTGTCTCTTTTCCTCCTCCATCTGTTCTTCCTCTGTCGTTCCTTGCTCTGAATCCACCGATTCCTGATTGATGCTGCTTGCCCCCTCTGCCGCTTCCTGTCGAGCTTTGCGTTTCTGTTCTGATCTCTTCAGTCCCTGTGGTTGGTAAGATTTTGGCCACATGAACTATTTGACATACCCCGAGTTGTGCACCTCGATACTATTGTTAAGTGGTCGGGCCTTCCACGCGTACTGTGTTGCATAGAATTCATTAACCTCTTGCTCCTTCTTCAGCCATTCAAAACGGTTTGTTGTTGTGATATCATTTCCCTCCGTTGTAGCTTTCTTCAGATTGCGCAAGTGTTTGTGATGCGCCAGACGGATTTCACATTCTTTGTGTCTCTCCCACTTCAACTTATGGACTGTCCTAATCTATTGTGCTAATGTTTCCGGTTCCTCTTCCTCCTCCTCGTCTTCGTCCTCTTCGTCACCCCAATCGTCATCATCGCTGCCTTCCTTTCCCTCTTCTTCCTGATCCATGTCCTGTGCCATTTTGTCTGTCTCTCCTTCTCCTCCCCTTTCCGAGTCCTTTACCGTTTTTCCAGTTCCGTCCGTCAGTGAGGTCGTTGCCGAGCTGGAGCGTCTTACTGAACCATTGTTGTCCGTTTGCTGATCAGATGATGATGTTGATGACGTGTCTGATTCTGCCTGATTCATATCCATTTCCTCCCCCTTAGATGTGCTGTTACCTTGTCCCTCCTCATCCATGTCTGCTTCACCCTCTTCCCCCATGTCTGTTTCTCCCTCGTGACCTGTCTGTGAAGATGCCCCTCCTTCTCCCTTCCCTGCATATGTTCTCTTAGAGTCTTGACTCAGTCCTTCCACCTTACCTGAATCTCTGTCGCTCACCTTCCTTTTGAGCGAGCATGCTGAGCCCCCCCCCTTTCCTTCCCTTTCCGTAGCCTCATTGCTGCTAGAGTTCATCCCACTTCCTTGCTTTCCTCCCTCTTCTTTTCCTTCATCTCCCCCCCCCGAAACAATGGTCCTTCCTTCATCCCAGACTCTTTTATTTTCTAAAAAAGCCAACTCAGTTGCTTGACCCAACTTATGCAATTCTACCATAGTCTGCAGCCTCTGCTTGTCATCCAGCACAGTACAATCATCAATCATGGGTTTAGAAATGAAACCCACATCTCTGTCCTCCATCCTTTTTGCACCCATTTGACGCCATCTGCTATCGTATGGAGGGTAGATGTCTGGCCTTACCGTAGGTGCAGTGTTTAGAACCCACACCCATCGTGGAACCTCCAGATTGTCGTCAAAGATCCAACCTCTATATTGTGATGCATTGATATACCACACCCCTGGTTTATTGTCTGATTCTACCAACATTGACTGTTTCAATTGTGGCTGCTTACCACCCGTCCCTGAGCCATTTTGTGAACAATGCATTCCCATATGCCCTCTTCCCCTGCATTTGAAACAGAACGGGTTAGCTTTTGTTGAAATAAAAACAGTAATTCTCTCGGTCCTCCTTCTGAAAATCCAGACTTTCGGAAATTTAGGGGGTGCACCTGATTTGACCTCCAAGCAAACTACGCTGGAATCATGGTTAGGTGCAAGGAAGTCCGGATTCGCCAGGAGCCACTCAATAATTTGATTGTTTGGATATTCCTCAATCAATCTCTGATGCACGAAACTATGCATGCCTTCCGATAGGTTATCGAATTGAACCCAAAAGTTGTCCCTCATCATAGTCTGTCTGTGTCTTGATGCTTCCGTCGGTGGTGGCTGAGGCGGTTTCCATGCCTGGATCGTGAAAACAGATCCCTGACATCTTAGCGAACCCAAAGATAGCAGGAATTGTGCGTACGCAGGGTCAACACAAACAATCATTACTATATATCTGCCCCTCTTGGGGTAAGACACCTCCGGTTCCATACCTGGAATGTGCTCTAATGCCCTGAGTCTCTCCATTACCCATTTTTTCTTTTCATTGAGAGACTGTTCCCGATTTTTGCCTGAGAAATTAAATAACACTGCGTGACGTGCATAGAGGTCATGCAATGTCTGTAAATCTTGTTCTGGATATTCCCACACATCCACCTCTTCTTCCTTTCCCTCTTGCCCTTTTACCACTTCCTTCGTAATTCTGACTGGTGCCGTTATTTTCGTTTTTTCCATAAGGAAGTCCAGGGCCCTTTGACCCAGAGCTCTTGATTGAGTGAATCTACCTCCCGTTGCTGTCGTGCCCTGAGATGCTGACGATACTCCCCCCTGGCTGATACCTCTCCCTTGCGTCCTCAAATGCTCACTTTCCCTTTTATCTTTTTCTGTCATAGCCCTCTGGGCTGCCATGACGTATGTAAACGACATTTTCCGCTTTTTTACTGCCCAATCCGTATCCCTCACCCCCCTTCGTAGCCCAACACCCCCCCCCTTTTTTTTTTCTTTTTTTTTTTAATTATCTCGTTATCTCACTTAACCGTTCCTATAGTCCGTCACATCCCTCTCCTTTTCCACGTAAATCCCTTCAGCGAAAAGGATAGTGTTTTTGACTCACCTCCTTCTTGAATCGTATGTTGCCTAAAATTCTCACCCGGAATGATATCGTCGACTTATGCTTGAGTTATGTCGATTTGGTAAGGTGTCCACGTGTGGATGTGCCTTTTTCTCTCTGTATCTCTTTCCCTGTCTTCCTTTCTCCCAATCTCTCTCTCTCCCTCTCTCTCTTTCCTTCTCACCTTTCCTCCTCCCATGTCTTCCTCTCCTCTCTTCTTTACCCCTTCTCTCTTTCTTTCTCCCTCACTTCTTCTTTCTCTTTCTGCCAATCGATCTCTCTCTTTTCCTTTTTCTAGCACATCCTCTCTATCTCTCCCGTCCGTTTCCCAAAGCGTGCCTCCACAGCCGTCGATTTACTCAGCATATGTCCGACACAATGATTCGATGTAACATTGCAGATGCATGTTTTGTCCTTCACCACCTATAGCTGAGGTCGTTTGCTTGGCCGTATGTTAACATATGTCCGACACTCAATGTAGTAACATTCGTATGATAGGACTCTCTCTCTCTCTCTCTCTCTCTCTCTCTCTCTCTCTCTCTCTCTCTCTCTCTCTCTCTCTCTCTCTCTCTCTCTCTCTCCCACGACTTCAACTGTTTTCCCGTTTTTTCTTTTTCGTTTGTGTATTTCTTTTTTTTCTTCTTCTTTCTTTTTTGATCGTGTGTCGTCCCTACAGAAGCGGGGCCCGGCCTTGGCGCTACGACCGGGCCTTCCCTTGGCCGACCAGCCTGAGGCTGCGGCGCATATTTGAGAAGGCCCGCGGCCGAACACTGAGCGAGGTACTGGTGGTTTAATGTTTAGGGTTTAGGGGCTACACTTGAATCCAAAGATTGAGAGGGTTTAGGGTTAAGCTTGAAATCAAATACTGCCCCGCACCCCCTCCGTCACCCCCCCGGGTATGTCCTGTTGAGAGCCGGTAAACGGAGGCCTGAATTTTCAGAAACTTGTCATGCAGACAGGCAAAAAAAAAAAAAAAAAAAAAAAAAAGACCCCCAACCAAACCCTAATTTCAGTTCTGGGCCCGTTAGTCAGGGGCTGAAACTGGGGGGTGCCTGTTAACTAGTAGTGGCAGGCACATTAAGCGGGTTTCGTTTCTGGACCCCAGATTCCCTGCCTCAATTATTTTGGTGTCTTGACCCATGTAGCATGGACACGGAGCCAGGACCATAAGGCCCTGTTTTATCCTCCCCCCCTCCCACCCCCCAAAAAAAAAGACAAAAAGAAAAAGACCCATGTACTGATGAACACAACAGATAATAAGAAAAACGGTTCCTACGATGACATGAAACATGATGAACGCCATGGAATCCAGTAGCCAGAAAGACTGTAGAGCCATTTATATTATATATCCCATCAGAAATGGTAAAATGAACTTCCACATATCCCATTCCTTGAAATGGAGTAAAAAAATACTGGAAAAAAAAAAAAAAAGTGCTAGAAGCAATGACCAAGGTGGGGAATGCCACTCCCTGCAAAAAATAGCAGCAATGACCGAGGTGACGTTCTTCCTAGGTAAAAGAAGAGGTGAATAGTCAAAAGAAAACGGGACGATCCGCCCAAGCAAAACAAACAAAAACAAAAATATATTAAAATATCCCTGCAAGCCACCCGAGCACTGCCCGCACATGTGTTTTGATTACCAGGCTGACCGCACCGGCCAATTTTCTTGTATCTTACTTTTTTCTTCACTTGCTTTGCTGTGTGGCCCTGCGACCAGTTGAGCTGGCATGCAGACCGACTCAGGTTATGAATTTTTTTTTTTTTTTTTTCTTTCCTTTTTTTTACAACTGAAGGGGCCCTGCGGGCTTCATATTTAGCATGTAGACTCGAGGCCGGGAAACCCTCAACAAACAACCCGGAGAAAAAAGACCGGAGTCGAACCCCCACAATCATCATAGGCACAGGCGTTGGGTCTATAAATCTAGGGACAGAAAATGGTCAGGTACAGACCACTGCTGCCCTGGTATACCACAACCCTGACCAGGTCATGGATTTGTTCAAAAAAGAAAAAGAAAAAAGAAAAAAAAAGAAGTATTCTGGTTCTCACTCAGGTTGTGAATGGTTCAGTGACTCAGTCGTATGTTTTTTCCGCTACGTCTACGTACATAGCCAGGATCTTGGTTTGGTGCCGCCTACTCCGATCTATTTTGGTTGCCTATTCTTAAAAGGAGAAGGAAAAGGCAGTGATCCATGATGTGTCCTGAAAAATGGACAGTTAAACCACCACTGCATCTTTGTCAGCTATATCGGTGCCGAGCCTAAAACCTTAAATCCGCCTCATTTTGGCTGGCACCACCAGCCGTTTTGATCCGGCAGTGCCGAGCCCAGCTTGCTCCCGAATATACCGGCGTCTATTTGATTTCCAAGCGGGGGGGAAAGGTGTACTGGTGGTTTAGACTTTAAACTTTGAAGTTGGTGGTCCACGATCTTTCCCGGAAAATGGAAAGATGGTGATCCATGATCTCATCCTTTCTTTTTTTAAGTTAAACTTTTTTTCCTTCTCCCCTCCATCCATGATCTGTCCTGAAAAATGGAAAAAGGACAGTTCCAGAAGGACAGGACACAAAGATGG